TGTTATCAGCACCGCACTCTACCAAGTGAGCCACGGGCTGGCCCTAAATTTTTCTTTTTTTGATGTATAAAAGATTTAAGTTTCTAGGTGGCACAATTTATCAGCTCAAAATATATAAGCCTTTTTCTTTATGGCAGCTTTGTATTTAGAAATAAAAGGTCAAAGTATTGTTAAAAAAAGATATTCCACATGATTTTTTCAGCACCGCACTCTACCGAGTGAGCCACGGGCCGGCCCTCCACATGATTTTTTAAAAACTTTTCTTGGTTTTCTTTTATGTCATTACTTTTATGAAGACNATCATGAGCCTTTGTCAATTCTAAAATTATTAACTAGAGTTGTTTTTGCTATAATTAAAAAAATAATTTTTTATTGGCATAATACTTAAACATATTTCTATAATTTTTTATAATTATGTCAGATATAATTTTGAATAAGATGTGAATGTTATATATAATTTAAGTCACTGGATTTTACTCCTAATTAAGTGCTTTGCTAAAAGAATTTTACTTTAGGAAGACTCATAGGTCTGGTGTGGGACGTGGGATTTTGCATTTCTAACTAACATACCACTCAGAGTAGAAAGGGTTTAGACTACTTTAGACTAACCTGTAGATATGTAATTCTTCTTTAGTTTATAATAAAGTATATGAAATATATTTGCTTTATTTTATAGAAGATGACTATATATATGTGTGTGTATATATATACCTATATGTATGTATATATATATACAGAAGTAACTATATTACATACACATACACATACATACAGAAGTAACTAAAGCCAGTTCTTGTGTGCTAGCAGATAAAATATATGAGTGGAATAATGTTTATTGGAACATAAATTTATTTGAAAGTAAATTGACAATTTTTTCATAAATAATTTCTTATATGTTTGTATTAATCTGTTTCAGTGATGAAGAAACAGATCTTAATTCTCTGATAAAATCCTGGTTAAGGAATCAACCTGTTAAATATAGGAATAATCTTGGAAATTGGATTGGAGATTATTTTGAAAAAGCTTTACAATGGGTTCTAAAGCAGGTAAGTTAACCATAGTATTTTGTAATTAGTTATTGAAGCAAGAAATATGATGATTAAGAGTGATGCTTATATTTAGCTGCCTTGTGGTAGAACCTGATAGAAAAGGGGGTGAAGTGAGAGGTAGATGTCAACATTGCTGTCACTCTATACCTCTTAGCATAACTTTTTATTATGTTAGTCTTAAAACATTTTACTTCTCCTATCCATAATACCTCACACTGCTTACCTAAAAATCTTGACTATTAAAATGTCTTTCTAATATTTACTACAAAATCATCTTGCTAGCACATTCTACTGATATGTCAATAAATGCCTACACATATATCATGTTGAAAACAATATCAAGCTCATACTAAAGTAGAAAAAGGATAGTGAGTTACCTGCAATAATGATGAAAATATTTGTTTGTTTAACAAAAATGTATTGAATAATATATACCAAGTATACTACTAGAAAGACTTTGAGAGGTGTAGATGAACAGGATAATCCTTTTCCTTAAGAAGCATTTATCTACTGGAGGAAAATAACATGTAAACCAATAATCCCAATACAACTGGATGAAAAGATATCGCTGTCTTTTAGAAGAGGTTTAAAAAGGAGATCACACTTGATTTTGAATTTGAAGCATGAATAGAAATTTAGCATGCAAAGAAGACCACGGAGGGTGTTCAGATATTCCACACCAATTGTGGTTACTAGAGGCTGGGAGGGATTGGGAGGAGTAGGGAGAGGTCGGTTAACAGATTAAAAAAATTATAGCTAGATAGGAAAAATAAGTCCTAGTGCTCTACAGTAGTGCTAGGCATCTGTAATTAACAATTATCTGTTGTACATTCTCAAATGGCTAGAAGAAAATAGCTGAAATGTTCTCATCACAAAGAAATGATAGATTTTTGTGATGAACAATATGCTAATTACCCTGGTTTGATCATTATACATTGTGTAACATGTATTGAAATATAACTTTGTACCTATCCCATAGATACGTACAATCAGTATGTGTCAATCAAAAAGAAAAATGCTCTGATGCATGTATCTTTCAACACACTTCTTTTTGTGTGTTTTCCACTTTTTTCCTTAGGATAAGGAAAAATCTCTTCAGTGGGAATTTAAAGAGTATGGGAAAAACTTTAATGTTTTTAACACATATTGAAAAATTGTTCTCCAGGAAGTTTCTTCAAGCTTACCATTAATATTTTATATTTTATACCTGATAGGTGATTCATACTACATTGCTTTAGTGTGCATGTCTTTGATTATTGTGAGATTGAACAGTATCAATGATTATTATAATTTTTCTTTTGTGAATTATCTATTTATATTTTTATCTGTGTTTCTATTCAAGAGCTCTTTATATACTAAAATATTAACCCTGTTTTTTTCTCACTTCCTCCTAGCTTGTCATTTTTCTTTAAATTTTTCTTTTTTTTTTTTTTTTAAAAAGATGACCAGTAAGGGGATCTTAACCCTTGACTTGGTGTTGTCAGCACCACACTCACCCAGTGAGCGAACCGGCCATCCCTATATGGGATCCGAACCCATGGCCTTGGTGTTATCAGCACCGCACTCTACCAAGTGAGCCACGGGCTGGCCCTAAATTTTTCTTTTTTTTGATGTATAAAAGATTTAAGTTTCTAGGTGGCACAATTTATCAGCTCAAAATATATAAGCCTTTTTCTTTACGGCAGCTTTGTATTTAGAAATAAAAGGTCAAAGTATTGTTAAAAAAAGATATTCCACATGATTTTTTAAAAACTTTTCTTGGTTTTCTTTTATGTCATTACTTTTATGAAGACAAAAACATATACAAAATAGAGGGAATAAGTAGCAATGAGTTTTTTTGAAAGTATCTGACTGTTCATTTGAACTTGATTTAGAGGTCAGTACTTTGGGATTGAACAAGACATAGAGAAATGGAGAGCTTGCTTTGGTTTTCTCAACCTTTTATTTTATTTTTTTCTGACTTTGTAAGAATGAAAATGGAGGGATAGGGATTTGTAAGGAAATGATGCAAATGAGGTAGGTTTTCCTGGAGGCCTCAGGAAAGGAACCACTCCCACCGGCTGCCTGTCTGACTGAGCTGTCTCCTCCTTTGTGCCTCTATAGCAACTTACATCTACCAACTATATTATAATTGTTTACGTTCAACTTTAAGCACCTTGAGGGCAAGGACCAACCTTATCATACTCCTTATTGTTCTCTTAGAACCAAGTATGGTATTCACAGAGTACTGAATGAATGATAGTAATGTGCTTAATTAAATCCCTGATGCCTACAGTATAGTACCTTTTCAGTAAATGTTATTTCATTACTCTGAAACATATGGGTCTCCAGTGCAGATACCTTAAAGTCATCTACCTGCATGCTGTTTATATCTGTGTTATTGTTAGAATGAAGAATTTAACACTAGGTGGAATAGTTTTGGGTATGTATGTAAAGGGGTTTGTACTATAGGCACTGTGACAGGATAAGATTATTAAACTGTAGTGTGGATACCAAAGATTGAGTTAAAAAATAAACTGATTTGAGACCAGTTCTCTGTTTTTATTAGAACTTTTTTTTAAAAAGGTGTTGAATGTTCCTTCCTCTTATCCTGCATTTTGAACACCATGCTCGGATTTTGAGATATACCATAATTGTTATTCTAGTCAAATGTTGACATTTTACATTTAACTAGAACTTTGCTTTCTTGTATTAATTCAGCAGATAAGACAATCTAGAAGAAAATATGTGGGTTTCCATTATGTTGCCTTTAAAATCTAGAACTCCTAGCTTGACCTAATCAGCTGGATTTCTGTCTCCTACCTTCTTCCTGCTTTCCCCCGATTTCTTCTTTCTTCCAAAGAAGCAGAGTGATCTTTTAAAAATGTAAATTGAATAATTTTACTTTCTTATGAAAAACACTTTAAAGCCAGTGAAAATATAATTTGTATTCCTTACCATAGCCTATAAATTCTGCACTCTGGCTCTTGCGTACCTCTCTGACTTAAACCACTGTTTTCATGCTTACTCAGGCATAGCTTCTAATTACTTAACTGCACTAAGTTTCCCTCTACATGTGCTGTATTCTCTGTGTGGTCAGATATATCTCATTCTTCACATGTTAGCTTAAATGTCCCCTTTTTCAAAGTGGCCTTGAACCTTCAATCAAAGTTACCCTTTCTTAAGATACCCTGTTCTACTACTCCATAGTCCTTAACATAACTTGTTAACCATTTCCTCTTCTACACTTCAGTTGCATGAAGATGGAACTTGTTTTTAACCCACCTTATTTTTTTTATACCTAGTACCACATATAGATCCAACTGCATGATTGGTTTTCAGTAAATATTTATGGAAAGAATGAGAACCCTTTTTTGTCTGAACTCTCCATCATTTACCAGAGGCCCCAGAGGCCTATAGATCAAAACTATCTCTACCACCTAAGTCGAAAAGTTTTATTTTAAAATTCTGCTTACATAGAAAACTCCAAATGGTTTTTCATTTAAGCCTGCTATTCCTAGCCTTTTTTTCCCCAGTACTATCAATCTAGCTCTTGCTTCTAGTTTTCTTTTAATCAGCTAGAGGAAAGGAACATCTATTCTTTTTGGACCAGTGCTCCCTCAGTGACTTACCTTTTCTTTTGTATTCTTCAGGTTTAGGGAGTAAAGAAATAAAATATCTATTTGAGGACTCTAGTACTTACAGCTAGGAATATGTAATTTTTTAATGATTACTTTTTATTTTCAAAGTATATGTATAAATTTAATGAAACCCAAATTTTCTATAGCTTGAATAGAGGGATGAATTTAAAGGTGGTTCTTGAAAAGATATGTGAACATCAATTTGTATGATTTTAAGTTTACTAGTTAACATTTATCTTTTGTCTGTCTGTACCATGGATTTTAATCAACAGAATGACTATGTGGTAGAAACAAGTTTGGTTGGGACTGTGATGAATGGTCTGTCACATCTTCATGGATGCAAAGATCATGATCAATTTATTATTAATCTCATAAGGGGACTTGGTGGAAATCTGAACATGAAATCACGTCTGGAATTCACCAAAGAGGTAATGCATATTTAATGTTGCCTCTGTCACCAGATGCTTCTCATTGTTACCACTCAATGCCATACTGTATGCTACTTTTGTGAGACACTATCTTGCCAAAGTTCAGAGTAAGAGTGTTAAAGAGTAACATTGGAGCTACTCTTTATAGCTTCACAGATAACAGTTTTCAGTATTAGAAAGAAGAATAACAGGTTGAGAGTAGTGGTGGTAACACTGGAATGGGCAGTACCAGAATATGGTGGAAATGAAGGGCATTAGAATTCCTAAAATTCAGCAATTTGTGATTTTATGTTCATAAGAACTGCATTAAAAATGGAATAAATATCTACCAAGTTGGTATTTTCTCTATATGCTTTTATTTACTTGCTTAAATGATTGTTTAGAGAAAAATATTTAAGATAAAATGTAATTTTAATGATAAAGTAGTTTACCTTAAGTATAAAGTAGGTTTAGTTAGTATATGTGGTTTTTTTTTTTGAACTAAGATGATTCACTTTTGGGACATTTACTTTGAAGACATAAATCTCACTCACTTGGCAAGTCCAAGTACAGTGGTGTTTATGCTAATTGATCACAATCAGTCATTTCTTCTCCACTCCCACTGCTTCACTTGGCTGGCCTTTAAAAAAAATTCACATACTCTGTTGGGAATATGTGAAAACTCATCACAATTTTTTCCTCTTAAGGTTTTTAACTGGGCACGACAGTCTCCTCCAGACCCCCATAAGCCAATGGACACCTACTATGACTCGAGTACAGGACGATTAGCATCTTATGTGCTGAAGAAGCCAGAAAACTTGACTGCTGATGATTTCAATAATGGCCAAACTCTTCCAGTAATTCAGACTCCTGATATGCAGCGGGGTCTAGATTATTTCAAACCTTGGTTAAGTTCTGATACTAAACAACCGTTTATTCTCATAGGACCAGAAGGATGTGGCAAAGGGTAAGAAAACTGTTGACAGAGGTGCATTTTGTGGATTTATGTCCCCTCTCCCCCAACGATGTAACAGCTATTGTTACATTTCTTTTGGTTAAAGTAGCATTTACACTTTCCTGGAGGATTCTTTTCATTGTCTCTATGTGTAGAAATAATGATTGGGGGTAAGAATGTGTCCTTTTCTCAGCCAGGTTATGTTATTTCTGATGGAAAGAGAAACCTGAGAAGATACTCTTGAAATCTGTGTATATAATCACAACAAAAAATGAATACCTTAGATATATTCACAAATTACCATTTGCTTTAGTTACAAAAGTTGATTCTTGAAGTTAGCTTTCTATTTAAAAATAACTTTTAATTCAGTGGAATTCAGCCCAGTTTTGTTTCTACAGAGTATAGATTCTGGAAATAAAGGTGCCATGGATTATTAGTTTCACATTTCTAGTGAGAGAGTAGTAATTAAAAAGTTCTATAAAATCATAGTAATTTTTTTTTTTTTCCTTTTTGTCTTTTTTACTAACCGGTAACGGGATCGCAACCCTCGGTGTCACGCCCGTACCAGGGACCGGCAACGGGATCGCAACCCTCGGTGTTGCACTCGCACCGCGCTCAACCAGTGAGCGGGAACCGGTCTCCACATGGGATCCGAACCCTCGGCGGGAGCGCCGCTGCGCTCCCAAGCGGCGCATTCTCCAGTGTGCCACCGGGCCGGCCCCATAGTAATTTTTTTTTAACTAGGAGAACTTAAGAAAATCTTTCCTCTATGAGGAAACAGGATTGATATATTCTATATATACTTTATCAAATTAAATTACTTCTGAGGAATTTGGGTTTTTTTGGCTGAAAGAGTCCCAAGAATGCCTTAAAATGTGAATTTATTTTTTTCCAGCCTGAAAGTTAGAGAGTTACTTTGATAGTTGTAAACTATGAAAACTATGTCCATGTTTACCACTTTCCCCTTAAATATCACCATACATAATTTAGAAATTGAAATACTTATATGGTAGAAATTTTATATTAAATATAAAAAGTATTTTGTTGATTGCATTTCAAAGTCAAATGTTATACATCTTTCACAGGATGCTGCTCAGGTATTCCTTTTCTCAACTCCGATCCACTCAAATTGCTACAGTTCATTGTAGTGCACAAACTACTTCTCGACATCTCCTGCAGAAATTGAGCCAGACTTGCATGGTAATCAGTACTAATACTGGTCGAGTTTATAGACCCAAAGACTGTGAACGACTTGTTTTGTACTTAAAAGATATCAACCTACCCAAGCTGGATAAATGGGGGACCAGTACTTTGGTAGCCTTCCTACAACAGGTAAGTCTTATCACTTGAAGTATTTTGATGTAACTGGGAACAATTTAATTTCATTAACTTTTCTTATAGATAGAAAATCTGCTTTCTTCCTTTGCGGCCAGTTTTATCTAACATGTATCATGAAAATTCAACTCCTGAAACATTTCAGTCTTGCTCCATGTCTACTTTCTTTGATCTTCTTCCCTTTAGAAGTTAGTATTACGTCAAGATGATACATGACAGGGAGAGTAAAAGAAACCTTTTACTCTGCACGTCATTTATTCCTAAAACCAGGAGGAAAGCAAAGCCGGGGATGGTGCTGGAGTTGGGGAAGGTTTTGCTTCATTTTTTTAGGTATGCATTCTTCTGACAGCAGTTATACTTAGTCATGCCTCTTTCTGGCTGCTTTAAGCCCATTAATCTCCCTCTTTGCCTGTGTAAGAATTCAAGATTACACATTCTCAGTTGGTGTGGGAGATATTTTTCCTTCATGTTATTTACATCACATTAGAAACTCTAAATTCTTAGAGCTTACTATGCTTATTTATATAGGCTCAAATTTAGCTTTACTGTGTAACTGCAGAATATGCTAAAATATTAATAGAAAAAACCAAAATATTTTCGTTATATTTTTCTGATTCTTTACTTTTTTTGATAATTGCTGGTAGATTTATAAGCCTAATGTTTATTAGACACAGAAGCATTTTAATAATGAGGATAATTCAGCTAACATTAATTGAACACAGAGATTTGAACAATATTATTTTTCAATGATATGAGAATTTAAAATGTATTTCAGTCTTAAACTCTTGTGTTAGGTGGAGGATGATGATAACATTTGGAAATAACTGAAATTTAGAAAAAAATATCTTTTGTCCTGGTTGGAAAACCATAAGCATCAAACATTTAAAATATATTTATTTTCAAATAGGTATTGACATATCAAGGATTTTATGATGAAAATTTGGAATGGGTTGGTCTAGAAAATATTCAAATTGTGGCTTCTATGTCAGCTGGAGGAAGACTGGGAAGACATAAGCTTACTACCAGATTTACTTCTATTGTTCGTCTTTGTGCTGTAGAGTATGTATATTAGTATTTTAAGTTTTTTTTTTTATTGGGGAGACATTGTATATTATTACATTTTATTAAAGGTATTTGTTACTGATACTGCTTCAAATGTAGAATATAAAAATCACCAGACTTAAACTCTGATATTTTTTACCCACCCTTCCCAAAATATAAGCAATAATTTAGGATGATAAAGGCTTTAATCAAAGCATCTTATTTGTTAGAAGTATATAAGGAAATAAAACAACTGATTCATATAGGCTCTGTTCCAAAATGTTAATATCAGCAATCTGAATGTTGGGTTTTAGAAAGAAATGTTTTATGTGTTTCATAAAACAAAAATACTTTCAGATTTCATGAAGGTTACTAAAAGGAGAATTTAAGTCTGATCAAGGGAGAATTAGGTCATTTTAATGACTGATGGCATCAGCCCTAATAGATCAGTTTATCTCCATGGTTCATAATTGTTACAACTCCTGAAGTTTTTGGTTATGGCACTGTCTCCTCTGTTGTATTTTTGCCTTGCAAAACTTTTTTTTAAATACTTTAATGCTAATGGCTAATTATACCCCATCTATAAATATTCTTCTTTCAGAAATGTTCCTGCCACCAATTAAGCTGTGTTGAAACAAATTTTGGTTTTGGAGGAACAGGTTGATTTTACTTGTTGTATTCTACTTTATACTTCTGAGGTGGATTACTGCTCTGTGTACAGGCTGTACTTGACCCAAAATGCTTTTCTTAAGTAAAATTTGTATTTTGGCCCTCTCTAATGATTAGTGGTTTTAAAACAGTTATATTTTAAAATTATTTCTTTGGAATTCTCTACCAGAACTCCTGGTATTTGACAATAGGATATTTAAGAATCCAATCTGGTTGAATTGAGAATAGTGACCTTGAGCCCAGAGATATCTAGGTCTCAGAGTAGCACAGTCTGAAAACCACTACTGTAACATAACATTAAAATAATAATTTAGAATAGTGATTTATTTCAGCTTTCTTTTTTCTTATATGCCCTTTTTTAGTTACCCTGAAAGAGAACAATTACAAACAATTTATGGAGCATATTTAGAACCAGTTCTACATAAAAATCTAAAGAATCATTCTATTTGGGGTTCTTCATCAAAAATTTATCTCTTAGCAGGATCGATGGTACAAGTGTATGAACAGGTATATATATGCATTTGTATTGTTGTTTACATGTCTATTGGTATCATTCTCAAAGGACTACCTCTAATCCTGATGTCTGTGTTGATGCCCAGGCTCTACTTTCCTGTTGTTTATTTGACTTTTCTACTACAGAGTAAGCTCTGTGAGGGCAGGTGCTATGTGTGCCTTATTCACTATTGTATCCCATTGCACAGTTTCTAATAGGCACTAAATAAGTATTTGTTGAATGAATGAATGAGTAGTAGATGGTTATTCTGCCGTCAGCTCAAAGTTAGCATATTTAGAATGGTGTTCATCTTCTTTTCAAAACCAGATCTTTCTCCTGATTTCTGTCAGTTTTATCTTCCAGGATTAAAACCTGAGAGTAGTCTTCAGTGTTTATTTCTGTCCTTTTGCCTGTGGAGAAATGTCTGAAGTATCCTTTCTTGATAAAATTGGAAAGATACTTGAAAATAGGCATTGAGGATGCAGAAGACAATTACTGAGTACTTTTCTTGCCAGTGGTAGTCTCAGGGATGCAAAGATGACTAAGTTTCTCTTCTCTGGACGTTCATAGTCTACTGAGGGACTGAGTCATATAAATAAGTTATTAATATGGTATGATAAATGTTACAATAACAATATGTCCAAGTTACAAAGGTAGCATAGAGAAGGGAGTGAACAACTTTGTTGTGTATGGTAGTTGTTAAGGAGGAGGTGAAATTTAATGAGTTTTGAAAAATAATTAGAAATTTGAAAAGTGGCTGGAGATGAAAGAAGGTCTTCCTAGGTAAAGGGATAGCATGTGCATCTTATGGAAGTGTTTGCGGATGATGGTTTTTATAGTGTTGAAATAGAAGTGGGGAAAAAGATATGTGTGAAAGCAAAAAGTTTCTTTTTAAAAAAAAAAGTTAATTCAGATGTTAAGTGATCAAGTTCAGAATAAGAGTAATAGCTCTGTCCAGAGAGAGAAAGGGACAGGCTTTTTACTGCTTGTATATTGAAGAGAGGTACTTTGATTTGTTCAGTGACTTCTTGAACATAAGATATCTCTGTGCTTCCCACCATTAGAAAATGGGTCTTACCTAGACCTGTGAGTTCCTTGGAATTGCAAACCATCATTTTAGGGAGATTAGGTTAGCTTTTCTTGAATTCCTTTCTTTAGCAGAGCTTTTATATATATATATATATATATATATATATATATA